CAGTCCAACACATGCAGCAGAGCATACCTTAAACATGGTTTAGTATATTAGATTATAGATGTGGATACCAGCAAATACTCTGTTGACATGGACTAATCTCTATGTGATATGTTTTGGTATTTGTGCTGTCTTTTAAAGAGAGGGGATCTGGATGGTTTCATGATGTCTCTGAAGGTAGTGTTTCCTAGTTCCAAGCATAGTAACTGGAAATCAGTTATGACCAACAGTGCTATAGATTTTGAGGTGGGACGAATACAGGGTGAAAGGGAGAAACATGCCAAGGGTAAGGCATGCAAGCAAACTCTTGTCGTGACTGCCTTCTACCTGGGAAACCAATGTCCTCATTGTGACAGACCATGTGGATCCAGAATGGGTCTCTACAATCACTTACAAACCGAACACCCAGACTCTACCCTTGGGAGACAATCAAACCTGTCTGCTGAGTAATGAGCTGTGTATAATTTGAGGGCAATAAACATAGATAGTGCTGCTCCTGTAAAATGCATGTGGCTGAAGTCTGACCTGCAACAGAAGGTTATTCTTGCCCTTGTGCAAATCTACACTCCTGCTTCAAATATGAAGCAGGTGCATGACAATGCATTCACAACAATACAGACACATACAGACAATACAGACACAACAATACAGACACAACCAATGTTAATGCCATTCCCTAAACCCAACTGAGGCATGGTACAGTGTATCATTCAGGTCAAGTACATATCAGACTTGTAGCTTTTCACAATTCATAGATGCATCTCAGCTCACCCTCTTTCTGTCTCTCATTAATGCAATAACCCTGTGAATACGTCTAGACAATAAACGTCATTTCTTAGCCAAGTTATATAGATTTCATTCTTTTTTTCCAGTAGTCTTTGTGGCTCTGTCACTGAGAGTAAAGGCATTTATCATCTTTATTACAGACCTCTGAACTTCTTCCAATTTATCTATGCTTTTCTAACAGCAAAAAAGCCAGAGTAACATGCAGTGTCTGCTTTGAGCTGGGACTGGGCTCAATCCTAGCCTTTCCAAGAGATTCATTTTATTTCAATAACATAACATATTGTTAGTGCAAAATAGAATGTTTATGGAAGCAGTGGGTATTTACAGCAGAGAAAATTCACGTCTCATACTTGTTTGACAACCAAGCGATAAAACAATTCCTTAGAAGACCTCAACTCCCCTCCTGTCTTGACTCCAGATCAATCTAAACAAAGGAATCTCATGTGCTCCTAGAGCAAGCTTCCAAGTTCTAGGAACTTAGAGAATGAAGCAGACAGACCTAAAGGAAAGTCACACTTCCTAGCTAGATCAGAAGCCTCTCACAGAAAAGCAGATGCTTAGCCATCATATTGTCTTCCGGAATTTTCTTCTAGGATAATTAGACCTAATTCTACTGAGTGCAAAATGATCTTTTAAACATCACAGAGAGCTGTGTGTTAGTGTCTACAGCTCAAGCAAATACGGAAAAACGGTCAACTTGGTGGCAAATGCCACACCCAATACAGGGTCCCTGATGGATCAGTTCTGGAACTGGAGAGAATCAAAGAGGGTGGTGATTCACTTTTTTCATATGACCTTCCCTCCTAAGTATGGCACATTTTGGGGGGAGTCTTATTCCATATGAAACATTTGCACCCAGAATGGTTCATGCTTTAGTTGGTTCCCACAGTGAGACAGTGGCCTGCTAAATTAGTTCAAATGAATCATTGTCACAATCCGATTGAGTGTTGCCACATATCTAATTGTTCATTTGTTTACCCATTTGTGTGTACATATGTTTCAGGGATGCACTTCCATTATATTTCAGGGTGGTTGACCAAATGAATGAAACAATTGCAATATAAATATTTTAAATATATATTATATAAGCCATAACAACAGATCAACATCATAAAACAATCAGAAGGTTTTTTTAAAAAAAAAGATGCAAGCCCAGTAGAATAGAAACACCTTTTTTCTGGAACCAAATGGCCAAAAATTCTTATTCCATTGGTACATTGGCAGTGATGGAGAGAAAAAGCAAAAGACAGAACTGCTGTGAAGGCAGTCAGACACTGGAGAAACAGACTGAGTGGAACTGGCAGGTTTTGTGTAGATATCTTAATGCAGAAATAGGTGGCTATGGAGATAGGTATCTGTCAGAAACTGTGTCATGCCATCACAAATTTTCTTTGTTGTGAAAATAAACCAATGCTCTGACTTGGTATAAGACAGCTTCCTTTTTTACTAAACATCACAGCAGGGAAAATTTAAATGCAAACACAGATCACAGCTGGTGAAAGGGTACTACATACACAGCACGGCAGACCTCAAACATTTGGAATGGGATTTGGTAAAGGCCCACTTCCTACTGTGACAATCCTCTTCTGGTAGATTAGTGTCTTTCCTGACTGGTAAAATTAAATGATGCGGTGCTACTAGGATGTAGAACTTATGATAGAGTGACAAGCTAAGGAAAGGCAATGCACAACCATCGGATTATGATATTAATGAGGAATCTGCCTACTGTGCCGCGTTGCTTTCTGCCCATTTAAAGTAGAGGTTCGATGTATAATGCCTTAGCAAGGAAATCTTTTACTTCTTAGCAGATAAAAACAGCAATTGGTTCCAGCATGGATTGATTTAAATCACCAAGCAGAAAGCTCTGTTTTAAAGCATTAATTCTTATCAGGTTTTCCATGTAAGAAAAAGTCAGCCTACTCATAATGCGGAGTGACTGAAGCAGATTGATAGCTTACATTACTCTGTTACTCCTCTGTCATGGAGCTAGGAGTGGTACTGTTTGGTTATGGTATCTCCTCTTCATTCATATTCCCATGATGACCAACATTGGATGGTGTTTGTGGGTTTAATTCTGGCATTTCAGTCCACAGATAAATGCTGCTGCCAGCGTAACACAGTTAGATAATACCGCACTCACAAGCACATCCTTCTCCCATTTAGTTTTTTTATGTTGAAAATATCAAACAACAATATTCTGTGACTGATTGAATCAAAACACATTTTATTTTCAGACTCACGGCCCATACTCTTTTATCAATATCATTTCTTAATAACTTCAAACCACATGCCAGGGTGATTGTGGCTTTTACACAAACATTTTAAATTGACCCAACCAGAACCACTTAATCAAAATGAGAACTGTTTCTTTACCACTAGTCTAAAAACAAATAAAATTCAGACATTTCAAGGTGAGAAATAAAATAGATTTTAAAGTCAAACTTTGACTTGTAATCAAGGTAACATTTATTTTGGATGTATATTCCCCCATAATACCCACAGCATGCACACACAAACACACTTCTATGCTCATAATAAACTGGCTAATCCCCATAGCAAAATGTAGATCCATAGCATCTTTCCAAGCAGCAGATTATATAATCAGTTTGGCTGAGAGGGCTAGCCAGATGCTTCTGTGATCCCTCCTCTTCTTCCCTGCCAATCATGTAATGGCCATTCAGGGAGGCTAAGAAGGAAAATAATTGGGGGGGGGGGGTTGGTTGCACAGAATAGGAAAGCATACCAACCTCTGCAACAACTAAAAGAGACATATATATATCAACCTCATGTAAAACTCAATGGCAGGTTATGGGGCCAAATTTATGGGTTTTGATATTCCCCGTGGATAAATGAGTCACTGATAAGGCTGAGAAAGGTGGTATACAAGTATAGTAAATAAATAATAAATTGAGGGTCCTTCTGCAGAGAGGGGAAAGCATCAATATCCCCTCAGAGGGCAACTGCCCCTGACTCTCACTGCCATTTTCCCACCCAGGCATACCAACAAAAACAAAGAACCAGAAGTAGCATTGCAGTGGAGAAAGTAGAGGGGCTCAGTGCTTCTTTTGGGTTCTTCTGGGACGGACTACACTCTTGCCTTTCACCACCAGAGAAAGGGAGAGTTTAGGTACAGTATTCACATTGACCCATGGATAAGTCAACCCGGGTTTTTTAGATTGTCTTTTTGACTATAATTTCTAGGCTTTTACATGAGTATATATAGGGTACTCAGGTATAATGTGAATTTAGCTTCCATATGTCACTAACAGCATGCCAGCCACTAATTTCAAGCCCGTTTTCCAAACAGGTTGGTATACTGATTTATCAAGATATACCTTTCAATAGTCAAGCATGTCACGTGGTTGACTCAGTCAACACCTTCACTATCCAGCATTGTTGAGCATTTTTAAGGTTGTTGAGCAGATCTTGTGACTTGTGGGCCAGTCATAGCACAGTCGACCATGGTTAAAAAGAACCCTAAACAGTTAAGTAGCTGTATATATCAAAAGGACATAAGTTGATGACAAAGTAGGTAATTCTCCTTTCTCCATGTGGGAAAGATGGCAGTCAGGGAGCCTGTCAAATAAGGAATTACCTATGTTCTGGGGATGAGGCGAAAGATGTAACCTTTTATATAACAATAAATTCCTTTTAAACTGATGTCTCTCCTTCCTGCTTGTTATAATGAACTATGTGTGGATTTTGAATCATATGTTGTATGTTTATTTATTTATTTATTGTGCTTATAGACCGCTGTTCTCAGCCCAGGGGCGACTCACAGCGGTGTACAACATGTAAAAATAAGGTGCAATATGTGTGTGTGTGTGTGTATACAATTCAGTGAAAGATCCAAGACTGATGCAACTATAAATGGTAGAATCAGCTCAAGACATCTTGCTGCCTGAAGTAGAACAGCAAATCATGCCCCTCACCAAACTAAGCGACATAAGTCCCCAAAAACGGCCAAGTCATTTTGGTGCTTGAGGAAGAAAATCTGTCAGGCACCTCTTCCCACCTCTAGTCCTAGCACATACTTTAAAAAAATAGCTAGCAATTTTCTGCCCTTTTGTGACATCCAAAATGTACTGTCTGAGCTGTTGCCCATTGTTGTGCTTCATGGTGGGGCTGTCCCTATGTTGCTTGGCCTCCTAAGGGAAGGGAAATGCTTGCTGTGGAGAAGTAGTGTGACTCCAGTGTCTGGTGCCACTCTCTTACAGGCTCGTTAAATCTCTTGGTTCACGTGAAGAATAAACAGCCCACTCAAGCCTTGTCAATCAAGGGGGACCAAGGAAATTTGTGGCAACAAGCACATGTTCCTATCAACCCTGCAGGACCTTTCCAGGTAAGCAGATCAATGGGGGCCCCAAGGACATAGCTACCTGGCATGGGGTTAGCAAAGCCAATGGCAAAAGGGCCCCAAAGCCAGTTCACTTCTAGTCTTGTTGTTGTGGAAAAGAAACCAAAGGGCCTAGGATGACTTATCAGTGCTCAGGCTGTCTCTCTTGAATAACCACATACCAATATTGTTATTCGAGCACCAGGTTACTGTTAGTAATATTTGCTCAAGAAGAATAAATCTCTCTTGGGCCTCCTATTATAGGTTATTTTGCATGAGGTACCTTTCTCCACAGCAGTAACATCTCAGTTTCTGTACATGAGCATATGGTTTGAACAGTGGTTTGTGAAAGCTGCCATTCCCTTATTACTTTGTCACTGACAAACCAATGTTTCTATGGGACATTGGTAAGAAGCAGACATGAGAGGAAATATGCTGCTGTCACCAAAAGCATCACTCCTACCCTGTATTAATGGTATACAACTGAGGGATGAACCCAAGGAGATTTGCCTGCTGAACATAATACGATGGCGTTTGGCAGGCCTCGTCCCCAAAGTGCTGCAGTGGGACAATTTGCCCCAGTGTGATGTGGTGGTTGGTTTTCCCAGTAGGTAAACTGACTGGGATTTGTGGGAGTTGTGGGCCAAAACACCTGGAGACCCACAGGATGAGAACCAATGACTTAGAGGAAGGGCACTTTAGCCTAGCGCTAGAGTGCTGTCTTTGTACATAGAAGGTTAACTCCATGGGAGGTCCAGTAGCACTGGAAAAGTAGAAATTGAGATTGATGGAGCAATGGCCTATCTCCTCCTTTTCCAGCAACAGAAAGTATAACAATGAAACCATCAACAAAATCCATCCTGTTCAGCGTTCCAACCAGCTAATCACCCCATACTCTGCCAGTGTTTTCACTGTGATTATATAGAATCATGTTAAGTCATTGAGCTGAAAGTATCTCCCACCCCACCCCCACCCCACCCCCACCCCCAGGCTCTCTGTGTGAATGAAGATATTTGATTGAAAATCAACACTTCTTGACCTTTGGGCTAACACCAATGCTAAAGAACCTAGAAAATGTCTAGAGAGGACATATTTTCTTGGACATTAATAAATGAAACCATGAATACTGTTTCCACAGATATGATGGTTGTACTGTAATTTTAAAAGTTGCAAATATATCAGAATAGTGTAATAAGTTTATTATTTACATCTGTCAACAATGCCTAGTTGTTACAAAAACAAGTGAAATGTTAATTGTTTTTGTAATTGTTTTTACCTCTTTTTAATTATTTTTGGGTTTTGGTTTGGCTGAATTTTATCCTAAGATAAAATGTGAGCCACTTTGGGGGATAGCCAGGTTAAAAAAATTTAAAATGCTAACTGGTTTCTTCCTTACTCTGACAATGTCACCAGGGGAGATAAGGAAGGAAATCCGAGGTCACTGCTGTTAATGGCAGCCACATTACAGAATGGCTCGTTCCTGCGTTAGGAACAACTGTGTTAGAAGTCATCTTTGATTTCTGAGCCAAGCTGATTAATGCTTCTGTTATCACTGTTTTGCAACAAATGCAGTGCAGTCATAGGATCCCCTATTTGCCTGTTTGTTTATTGTCCCTTCTCCTCTGTGTTTTGACCAACAGAAACATGACAGGTAAAGTTTTTCTTGGTGTGGAGATAAATAGGAGGAGAAATGAGACTTGCTAACAATGTTTTATTAAATTAGGATTTTTAGAAATCTGTTCAAAATAAGATATCCATACTTAGTTTGCTATGTGAGTACTAACACAGGGACTCATGACACTGACTACAGCTGTTTGTGAATGCTGTGCCCTATCTAGGTTTTTAATGAACGCTTTATTTCTGAAAAAGGTGTTGTCTAATGGATAAAATGTACAAGTATTTTAGATTTTTGTATTTCTTCAGTTCTAAGATGCTATTGATTGTAAGATGCACACTAATTTCAGCACCACCAACAGGAAAAAAACTTTATTTACCTATGAAAAAGGCAGCCATAATTCCAAGATCCACCCCATTTTAGAAATGTTAATAAGGGGGGGAAGTGTGTCTTAGAAATGAAGAGATATGGTAATATCAAGAATTGGGTAAACATATGAAGATTATTTTGTGATAGATATAATGTCTTAGCTATGGCGGTATTATTGTGGCATCGAATTGCTGCCTTTGTTAGCTGCTCTGAGTCGACCCCCCCCCCCCAGGGGTTGAGAAGGGTGGGGTAAAAATGCTGTAAATAAATAAATAATAAAATATTAGAAGTGTAAGAAAAAGGGATCCCTTCCTAGACTCCTAATATAGGGCCTTGGACTTCTTTTAGCATCTTGAAACCATCTTATCATCAGTAGAGACAGGATATTTCAGGAAAACAAAGTTCTGCCCAATAACATTGCCATAATCTGATTTAATACACCATTTGGAGTTTAAGTTATTGATTTTAAAAACCTCAAAATCAAAACCTTGTAACTGGCGCTTTCAATGTAAAAGTAGCCTCACATTCCCTTCTCAGATTCTTTTCACTGCAGACCTAAAACTCTCTTAATAGTCATTCCCTGTCCTCAGGGAATGCCAGGAGCTCTATTTTCAGAAGGCACATCAAGGACGCAGCTAATTCTCATGGTGAATGGCAGTTTCTAAAATGGAATTTGGGGGGTAAAGCCATAATAGTTCAATGGGTTTTGAAAATCAGACATAAATCTGTTCTGTAAGCAGGGGATGTGTTTAAGGACGTACAGGGCAGCGGCAGCTTTTTGAGGCCTTTCGTTTTTTGTGCAACAGGCGTTTATTCCTAAAGCATTTACTGTGAATTTTATGCCCTGCATCTTATTTTCTTTGTTCAGTGAATGATATTTTTTATGAATTCATGAATATGGCACATCTGTGCACATTTGCTTTGTTCTTACTTAGCTCAGAAGTGCAAAGCATGCTTTTGGGTACCATAAAGCAATAATCATATTACTTGCCAATGTGCTGTTCATTGCTTGTAGCTCAGTTATGACTGTGCACTTAATGACAACAGGGATGGGCTACTAATTTGTTATTACTTGGTTGCTTACGAGCCCTCTCCAGTGCTATTCCTTCGATGTACAGGCTAGACATTGTCTTTATTCCTATGGTAATGGTTCTGATTTCTGGGCCATTTAGATTTTACAGCGAACAAAGCATAAACAACAGTGTTTGTCATGTATATGTATGGATGTTACAATTTGGAGGTCTGCCCCAAGGTTATTTCCCTTCTACCTGACCTATTTTCTTTCTTTGTCAGGCCATAAGAATTGTTAAGACCATTTTCAAATGGCCACTTCAAAGTGTCATACAGGTACATCTAAACTGCTGCATCATTTTCCCACTTAACCTTTCAAAACCCATAATGCAATATCAAGTTTATGCACAATGGTGCGATAGATACAGAGGGGTCATATATCTATACTATGAAGATAAAAATCTTCAACCGCATGCCCAAATAGCTGAGAATAAGCTCCACTGAATTCAGTGGAACTCACATCAGAGCAAATGTGTTGTCAGATTACATGTGCTATTGAAAGGAATAAGCGTTCAGCAATTTTGCTATTTTTACAAACGTAATCTGGTTAATTGTGTAATGTCAGAGCATGGTGAGTGACCATACTGTGTCACGTACCTTTTAGAAAAAATTCTTAAAAAATAGTGAAGGCAATGGGGGAGGGAAATTGTGCCACTCTTCACTAATAACCTAACAGGCTCCAGTTGGGGTGTGTGGCCAGCCAAATTCCATAGAGCAATCACAATAGCAAGAAGCATTTCATCTTGGGGAAAACATTACATTGCAAAATATTGATCTCAGACAATAGAATCTTTCAGCCAAAGAAAGAGGCATGTAGAAAATTGGAAATTCATGTGTTTTTATTGTACACGCACACATATACAAACAGGCAAGACTAGTATTTATTTATTTATTTATTTATTTATTTACTTTATTTGTATACTGCTCTTCTCAGCCCTTAGGCGACTCAGAGCGGTTTACAACAGTTTAGATATACAGAATACAAAATCATTATGCATTTAATCATTATGCATACAAGTAGCAACAGTAAGAACTGACCACGGAACAACAGACTGGTTCAAGATTGGGAAAGGCGTACGGCAAGGCTGCATACTCTCACCCAACCTTTTTAACTTGTATGCAGAACACATCATGCGATGTGCGGGGCTTGATGAATGCAAAGCTGGGTGAAAATTGCTGGAAGAAACATTAACAACCTCAGATATGCAGATGACACCACTCTGATGGCCGAAAGCGAGGAGGAGCTGAGGAGCCTTCTAATCAAGGTGAAAGAAGAAAGCGCAAAAGCTGGGTTGCAGCTAAACATAAAAAAACCCCAAGATTATGGCAACAAGAATGATTGACAACTGGAAAATAGAGGGAGAAAATGTGGAGGCCGTGACAGACTTTGTATTTCTAGGTGCAAAGATTACTGCAGATGCAGACTGTGGCCAGGAAATCAGAAGACGCTTACTTCTTGGGAGGAGAGCAATGTCCAGTCTCGATAAAATAGTGAAGAGTAGAGACATCAGACTGGCAACAAAGATCCGCCTAATCAAAGCCATGGTATTCCCTGTAGCAACCTACGGATGTGAGAGCTGGACCTTAGGGAAGGCTGAGCGAAGGAAGATGAATGCTTTTGAGCTGTGGTGTTGGAGGAAAGTGCTGAGAGTGCCTTGGACTGCGAGAAGATCCAACCAGTCCATCCTCCAGGAAATAAAGCCCGACTGCTCACTGGAGGGAAAGGATACTAGAGACAAAGTTGAAGTACTTTGGCCACATCATGAGGAGACAGGAAAGCCTAGAGAAGACAATTATGCTGGGGAAGGTGGAAGGCAAAAGGAAGAGGGGCCGACCAAGGGCAAGATGGATGGCATCCTTGAAGTGACTGGACTGACCTTGAAGGAGCTGGGGGTGGTGACGGCCGACAGGGAGCTCTGGCGTGGGCTGGTCCATGAGGTCACGAAGAGTCGGAGACGACTGAACGAATGAACAACAACATGAACAATGCATTTAAAAACAATTACTAGTATTATATTGCATTACATTACAATATTATAAATATTATATGTATATACAATATATTATATTATAACATATTATTAGAGAGCTCTGGCGAAAACGAGGCCCATGGGCATAAAAGGTCTAGATTTTTTTTTCATTTTTTGGATTATTCCTATATGCACACCTTCAACTTGAGTTGTTGAACAATTGTTTCTAGTGCTTAGAAAAGCAGCTAGCATGGTTACTGTGCTTTTAAAAATAAGGAACATTTCCAAGCTCCCATTTTGTTCTTTTGAACTGACCTAAACCTCCTGGATTCATATAATTTGGCATATATAGCTATCGGATTGCATACATTTCCTAAACATTGGGGTTCAGTGTTTGGATCTTAAAATGTGCTGAGGTGTATTTTAAGAGAGGCATTTTAGGATAAAAACACATTTATAAATGTGCACATTTAAGAAAAATATATCTTTGGAAATACAAGTTTTGTAAGAAATTCACAAACTATGGAGGATAATTTCATTGGGTTACCATCTTGATAATAAAGTTATAAAATTCACACTTCCCAAGTCAATACACAAACCAGAATGCAGTTATCCTTTCGTATGTCTACCTGTCAAAATGTTGCATTGCAGTTTTCCAAACAAAGATGTACACAACGTGCATATATTATTAAAAAATATATACAAATGCATTGAAGGGAATTGTTTGCAAAACAAAACATGTGCACTTTGCAAAATTATATTATATTTGAAAATCATATGCTCTAGTGGATGAAACTAACTCAAGACAGGAAAGTTTAAAATGAAGACAAACCTAAATTGACAGGTTTCTTCATTCCTGTCAAAAAAAACAATTTCAAAGAGAAATGTCTGTACGGTTTTATTAAAAAATAGAGATGAATGTGGGAATGGGACAGAAGAGACGTAACAATGAACACACACAAAACTCGTACAAATTGGGAGTATATTCATATGTCTCTCCTGCTTCCTATACCCAAAAGCTTTGACTTTGCACTAGCATAACACCACAGCATTGTTGATTTGTGGTAATTTCACAGATAGTACAGCACAGAGAATCATCCCTTGAATCTTTGTTCCTGAAACTCAAATTGCAAAATGTGAAGAAAAGGAGGTCAGCACAAGTGAATATTTACTGTATATACTCATGTATAAGTCAACTTTATGTAAACTTTGAGGGCAGGTTTGGGGGTCAGAATCATGGACACTGATATGACCCATGGATAAGTTGAGAATTATTCCATAAAGAGGGGAAGCTTCCATTTCCTTGCCCAGGCATTCAGAAGGCTAGAAGCAAGACCATGGTGGAAAGAGTAAAGGAAGTTGGTGCTTCTTTTAAGTCAATCCAAGATAGACTGGGCTCTTTACTTTTTCTAGTTTATTCAGATATGAGGAGGATTTATTTTTTGACAAGAGTTAATATATATTACTCACGTTGACCCAAGGATAAGTCAACTCAGGTTTAGAGATCGATTTTTTTTTACTATAAATGGTGTAGACTTGTACACAGGTTTATATATAGATTACTTCTTACTAACTGGGCACAGCACATTCCATATAGTGCTTTGTATCATGTGGAGACAGTTAGTGAATGGCTTGTAGCCTCCTCATGCATAATAGGAGATAAACGTAGAGGTTGCCTGTGCTCCTTAGAGACTAGGACGTGGCAGAACCTCTGCCCTGAGCTGCCCAGAAAGTCTTGTAACCATAGGAACAGCACGGATGGCATGGCCTAATGAAGCCGTAACTGTCAAGCTTGGAGAATGAAGGAGACCCCTGTGATTCTCAGGTCTCAAAGAACAGTGCTGTGGCCGTATCCCACGGTAGCCCACTATTTTTGTGGCCTACACCATATTCTGAAATTCAGAAATAGGGCACATAGCGTAATAATAATGACTCATGAAAATAAATAGGACTATGAAGAAACTCTAAGAAAGAACTATGTCTTAGAGTAAATCTACACTGTAAAATGAATGCAGTTTGGTGCAGCTTTAACTGCCATGGCTCAGTGCTATAGATTCCTAGGAGCTGTCATTTTATAAATCTTTAGCTTTCTCTGCCAAAATGTTAGTGCTTCACCAAACTACAACTCCCCAGATTCCATAGCACTGGGCCATGGCAGTTAGAAAACCGAATTCTACAATGCAGATACACCCTTAGTGACTGAGCACATGCTTTGTACACAAAATATCCCAGGTACTATTCCCTTATTTAGACTCATTACTAGTCATTGTCAACAATATTGGACAGGATGAAGCAGTATAAGGTAGCTTCCTCTGCTCTTATATACATATCCACAAAAGCTGAACAATTTCAATCTATTCCAAAAAGTGTAGTGCTCCTGAAATGTGGTCACACATGAGTATGCAAAATAAAATTAAAACTTCACTCCAGTTTACAGAATAAGCTAGAAATATAAGCTAGTGGAACAGAAAGCTTCTGCTACTTTCAGGCTGTGAGTGTTCAGTCTACATTCAGATCAAAATAAAGTTTTCCTTGGATGTGGAACCCTAGTACTTCAAACAGACAGTTTGGTACAGCCACCTCCTTATTGTAGCTAATGACTTGTGGAGAACTCATCAGGTGGGGAAGGATCAAAAGCTACACTTTGCAGTATGTCATTGATGTTTTTACCTACCGCATGAATGACCCGCTTAAAAGTGCATTCTCAATTGATTCTTGGGTCTGTAATTGTACTTAATCGCCATCAAATTGTCTTTGGCTTTTAGCAAACCTAGAACTGAATGATCTCCAGTCCTTCACTCAGTTATTAACAGCTCTGGCCTAGTGGTTTAAGTGTTGGATGGTAATTCTGGAAACCAAGGTTTGAATCCACAGCCAGACATGGAACCCATTGGGATCCCTTCCACACAGCTGAAGAAAATCCCATATTATCTGCTTTGAACTGGCAGTGTGGACTCAGATAACCCAGTACTAAGCAGATATTGTGGGATTTTCTGCCTTGATATTCTGGGTTATATGGCTGTATGAAAGGGCCCTGGATGACCATGGGCAGATCACACTCTCTCAGCCTCAAAGGAATGTCTTCTAAACAAATCTTACCAAGAAAACTTTGTGATAGGTTCACCTTAGGGTCACCATCAGCCAGAAACTTCTTGAAAGCACTTGTGGACAACAGCAACAAAGAGTTTTCAAACTCTTGAGTCTATCCACCCATACTATGGTTTTCCTTTTTTCCTACTACCATAATGTGGTTTTCCTCTTTTCCTACTTTGCTGAACATTATTGTATATGCTAGTGACTCATGTCATCTTGAAATATCACTATATCCAAAGGACAGTAGCTTCAGTTCAGTCATTTTGGCTTTTAAAGAGAGTTGAGGCTTGATTTGCTCTAGGGCCCTTTTTCGTTTACATCATATTTATCTATAAAATATAGTAAACCCATTGGCCTCAATACCATTTTCTCTGCTATGGTTTTTCTCTATCTGTAACTGTCATTGTATTCATATCATAGGGAATGGTGTATTAGTAACAGTGGGACTACTGGAGTCCTGTATTTCCCCAAGAAAGCTTTTCTAACTGTAATATCCTCTCATGGCAGATCATCTTTGAAGGTGTTCGTGGTACAGGGTCAGAAGGAGATATCGCCATTGATGATGTCACTCTGAAAAAGGGTGACTGTCCAAGGAGGCCAACTGCCCCAAATAAAGGTGAGTGCATATCTTATAATGTATGTGTGCTTGCACACCAGATCCAAGGAAAAATTGGGAAATCTCTGCATATTAACATAAGAAGGAGGGACATTCATTACTGTCTAATGTGTGTATGCCTGCTTCATTTATTACTATTAGTAGTAGTAGTTGTAGTAGTAGTAGTGTATATATTCCACTTTTTCTCTCCCAAAGGAGACTAAAGTTAAAAAGATTTAGGCTAACACTAAAAATTAAAACAGTGTGTAAATTACAATCTAAAGCATATAACATTAAAATAGACTTAAATTTGATTATTCTGCAAAGGTGGTGGCAGATGGCAGAAATGCTATTTCTGAAGTGACCAGGTTTTTAACCACTTTGCAACATGTAATAGAAGGTTTATTGTTCATTAAAATCTTTGCCACATTGGAGTTGTTTAGCCAAATGAGCTGAGGTTTTTTTTAATAAAGACACCCTAGTGATAAGAAGGGGAAACCGTAATTAGGAGTAATAGCCATAGGGTACAAATTAGGACATCTCTGTAAATAAGTACTAACGTTTATTGAATGCTGTGAGCATCCCAAGGCAGAGAAATCCTTCTAAAATTATGACAAAAACTTCCCTGAATAGATCAGTTTGAAATCACTCTGCCTCCTGACAGTCACAAAATCACTTATACCAGAGAGAAAGCCAGTTTTTCATTAACTTTTATTGATAGGATACATTCCAATGAGACTTGCATCAAAGATGATGAGTTTAGAGCTGTGGTAAGTGGAACTCAGTTGGATGCTTCTGTTAAATAATATTTAACATTTTAAGAAGAACCATTGTTCAATTTTAAAGGACATGCTTTTGCACACAGGAAGTGCCAGGATTGTGCCCCCCCCCCCTTTAGAATGTAAGATGAACACTTATGGATACTCACTACTATTTTGAGTAGTCAATAATGATATAACTAAATAGCATAGCTTGGTATAAAGCTGTTTTGCATATAATGCCATTAAAATTGTTCATGTAGTATGTAGATCTATCTATACTGTCTCATCTCTAGTAATTGGGGTAGTCTTATGTTTTCGTAATACATTCGCTTGCCTATTATGATTCATTCCTAGGATCCCCTCTATCTAGTAGGCCAGTTGCTCTCAACTTTTGATCCTCCAGGAGTTTGGGACTGCATCTCTCAGAAGCTCCAGCAAGCTTGGCTAGTTGTAGGAATTCTGGGAGCTGAAGTACAAAACATTTATAGGATCAAAGATTTTGAAACACTGCTTTGGACTATCAGGTCATTCCATAATTACCTATTTTGCAAGATGTGGAAACTTTATGTGACTAAATCCTTCTCTTACTTTTCCTACAGCGGTTGCCCTTCCAGGAAATGGTGCAGTCACCCAACACAAATCTTTCCTCTGTGGACCTCTACTTTTCTTCCTTTATGTACTGCTCAGATGATAGCAAGCAACTGTTCCAGTCTTCAATCTAAGACATTCCTCCTCCTTTCCTACTTGGTCACCTCTGATCCTCTTGCTCCCACTCCTCACTGGCACACCAAAGTGTCCGTATGTTACCAAAGACTAACAAGCATGACTACACTAAGGAGATCCAATTCAGAACCTGAAGGATTCCTGAAGGAAGTCATCACGTTTAAAAACCAAGCAAGTATGAATAAAAATAAAGACACAAGAGAAAGAGGGAGGAAGCAATGGAAAGAAGAGCTGTGAATAACAGAACAAAAAGGCAAAAGCGGGGATGACAAAGATATTTAAAAGGATAGATGAAAGGGGGGCAAGGCCATGTTTCCCTATGAACAGTGAACAGGACTTCCTCAGGGAAGTGGGAACTTTTGTTTTAAACAAAAACAAAATATATTAAAGCACAAATTTCTACCAGAACGGTTACCTTTTTGACTGCGGAGCCACAGTTTGAGGAGACATTTTAGCACAGTGCTCACCTTCTGGATCTCTGTGTTATGACTTTTCCATGATGGGCTTTGTCAGCCACCTATCTGCTGCAGCACCATCTCACCCTCATCCTTCCAAAAGAACATCCCACTTGTCTCCATTGGGGGCCACCCCCTCCTTGCATCCTAGTGACCATAGATCCTTGTCCCCCATTGCATGTGCTTCAGAGTCTCCATTTTCAAGACTCCCATATATTTAATTGTCCATGTGCAATTTGCTTTGAATCATCCTTCACACCTTTGGGCCCCCGGCATAAAGCAGAGAACAAAACCTCTTGTGCACTGTGGAAAAGGATGGCGTGATCTGGAGCAAACATAAGCTGCAGGACCAGCTTGTTGGCATCTTCCATCTTCCTCCTCCTCCTCTTCCTTCCCCCTTTGAGAGCTGTTCAACTCTTACTCTTTGTACTCATTTCTGTTCACTATCACACAGGCAGATTGTCAAAATCCAGCACAGAGACTAAAACTAAAGGCCTCTTGGTTGGGCACCAAAGCAAGATGGCTAGATGGTTGCATTGTAGTCAGTCAATGTCAAAGCCTGAACCTCGGAAGCCTTAAAGCAAGAATCTCCTCTCATTTTTAAATGTTAATTTATCAGCCTCTCATTCTCTTTGTGTACGTCACAACTGCTACATTAAAAATGCAGGGAGAATCATATATTCCCTTTAACTTTCTCCTGATCCCTCCCCCAGGTTGTCCTTATGACTTCTGAAAATGCAATACTTGCATGTTAATTGTGGTACCTACTCTTGGTATATCGCAAGGTGCTGATACGACGGTGCTTGGTTACCTGTTTAAGGACAAACCAGCAGTGTCTTGTTACATGATGAAGTGAGAGACAGGATGGAGTCTTGGAAGTTTGGTGGTACCACAAAGAATCAAGGAGTAAAACACGCCAAACTCCTAGGAATTGAAATAGGCAGTGTATTCAGTTTCCAAAGGGAAATTTTTTGGATTTCAAAGGGAAAATAAATGCAGACAGAGTTGAAGACTACATGATGTATGCCATGCTACCACTGTGAGAAAATAAATTATCCCAGGAAAGTCAGATTGTTACTTCCAGACTTGAGGTTAGCAATAGTGAACCTACAAAATCTTTAGGTCTGATGCTACATTTTTAAAGCCAACTGGAATTGGCCAGAACATGCTGCCATAATAAACTCCAAGGGACAGGTGTTATCATCCCCTTCCTGTGATTACAAGCATGGAAAAGAGATAGATACCATGTAAGTATATGCATGACACAAGTGCATCCATTACTCCCACATCGTGAATTGCATTTGTATTCCAGGATCTGTTTTAGATTGTAGAATTCCATCATCTATCTATTTAGGTGTAGAATTCCCATTATCTTCCCAACCATATTCAATGAACAGGTTTGGGCTTCTCCAGCCAATAACATAGAGGGGGATATTAAAATAATGTAGATAAAAGTAAATATTGTGACCTCTCCATTATCAGGCATTTTCATCACTATACCACACATTTTTTTAAAAAAAAATGATGTTTTCAGGCTGAGTTTACTGTTTTAAGTAAGCTACTGAGGTCCTAAACAATTCAAACACATAGTTATGGCCAGATTATCTTCAGAACTCCTATTGTATTGTGTCTCCTCCTTCCAATGGACATCTTCAAAACTCTGTACAGCTGGAAATACGTATATTATTATTGGTATCTTCATTCTAAGGGATATCAGAACAATATCCATGTTCGTATATATAGGTAAATTCAGATTTACAGTACTGTATGTTACTGGAAGTACACAATGTTATCATGGCTATAGAAGTTTTAGGAAAAGCAGATGGGAGCAAAAAAAAGCAAAGGGTAGGGATGTGGTGATATATCTGTGGATCTGTCTGAATGTATGGATTCTGACAAAGCATTGATAGCACCTTGCCATTTTCTTCAATCTAGCATTACCATATCACTTAATCAGGATCTGGTTATATGATTTGTTCTGCCCCAAAGCATTCTCACTGTTCAAAAGAACTAAAATCTATAATTCTCCATGGCCACCTCTGTTAAACTAGAAGCAAAGAATTCAGTCATCTCTTTCAAAAACAGGATACTAACAGTGGAAAATGCTGATCATTAACCAACATACACAATAGTGACACAAAAGGAGGCACAGAAAAGGAGAAAGGTCTCAAACATCTATGATTTCCATTAATGGAATTAAAAGACTGAAGGATGCATCACCTTTTCTTCTGATCTCAGGGTTCTCAGAACCATTGTAATTCTACCAGTACGAATAGAATGCCTTCTTGGTATTTAGACATGCATCTCTTCCAACTTTAAGCAGGAACCAGGCCAGAGCTTCTTAAACTTTTCCACTTAGTACCCGTTCTGGCCCAAGAAATGTTTATGGGATCCTGGGTATATTGGTATATAAAATAGGTATACGAACTAAACATTATGTGATAATAAATCAGGATTTCCAAGATTTACTAAACAGACTAATTTCTCTTTTTATGAAGTACAGCTGAAGCATCTTCTGCAAAGTCCACTGTAAACACTGCACAACAAATTCATGAACATGTTTAAAACAGCCAATAGGCGAGATTCATGCATTTTTTCAGGATCCGAATACTGAGTTAAACATCCCCCAATTGGGGTCAGAAACCACAGTTTAAGAAGCCCCAAACTAGGCAAATAAAAGACACAGAGTAGCTACCCAAAAGTTTATCATAGTTACATTATTTGGAAATATTGAAGAGATCTTGTAGAAGAAATGATTGCATTGTTAGGCCTAGCAAACCTATCCCTCTATCTTCCCAAGGTTTTGCTTGTATCTGAATCTGTCCTAAGAACAAGGAGAAAACTCTGCAACCAGTTCAGTGTCAGCTTTATTATGTGAGCATCAATCTATGTGAGAAAGGATGAAAGAAGTGCCTATTTACATGGGAAGACTAGATTGTCTTGCCGGGGTTGACCAAGTATTCCACTATCAGGTATCTACCAATGAGAAATCAACCTTTTAATTATCCTCACAGAAGTCTCAGGGAGCCTCATTTATAGATACCTGTCTTGTGTTCATTCTCTTTCCTTGCTATGGCTTAGAAGCAATCGGTTGCCTTTTCTTGGGGAAAAAATGTTTTCAAGTGCCTTTGCTTGTCAGAAACATAAAAGCTAAAGGTGTTGATCCAGTCAGTAGGAAGCTACTAGTGCTGTGAGTGCATTTCTCAGAAGTCCAAGACTGCAGCAATGGACAGAGAGAAGGAATTGCTCCCATCTACTGGTTCTGAAGACAGGAGCTATGCCATCAGCAAAGTGATAGCACTGGATCCTGCTCAAAATGAGAGATTTCATGACATTGACCAGATTACACACAGGAGGAGCAGAATGAGCTAGTACGGCAGTAAGAATAACTCCCTTATGCAGAACAGTATAGCCTACTTGTAGAACCTGTCAAGGATGAGCTCATGCTGAAAGGTAAAAAATGTTTGCAAGTTTCAATTACATGCAGTATTTGGCCCAAATTTTAAAAGAAAATGGTGGAATTTTTTTTCTTTTGATTACTTTCACAGATAAGAAAACATTTCCTACAGATATCAAGTAGATAGGCAATATTCCCTTTCTAATTTGGAACAGAATTCACTCTTGGAACAGTGCTGTGTCATGACTTAGCATCATTCCCAGGAGCTCTGTGGGGAGGGAAAAAGAGGCTGCCCCAATATAAGCATACTAAAGAATTCCTCTGTGCCCCATGGCCACCAGGAAATCACTAATATTCTCATCCACAGTTTTGTAGGGAAACGAATAGTTTCCCAAAAGGGAGGATTTTTCTCTAGACACTTGAACATTCAGACCTCCCAAGTAAATGTCAGATACTTCAGTGAAGTACTATCAACCACTTAGGAATCAAAACCTACTTACAGCCTAATAGCTGTCAGGTGTTGCGCTGTTATTTAGAGTACATATAAAATTATCATTCTGATTTATCAAAGTAGCCCTTTTTTTCTGAATACAAAAAGCTTAGCACCCAGGTCTCTAGATATGTAAACTTTTGAAGATGTAACTAGAGTAAAGGAGTGCTTTGGCTGCTTGTAGTCTGGTGTAATTGGCCTTCTCTATTGTGATGAACTTGTTACATGAGAAATTCCTTCCACCTCAGAGGTGAGGCATACAGCTGCCTCTAAGCAATCACTATGAATACAACTGTAAATATAGGTTGATCTATTCTGGGAGGTACTACAAAAATAAGAGCTGCTATTATCTTTATCAAAGTATCTGTTGCACAAGATGCAATAACATGAAGAAGGCATTCCAGTTAAAGATCAAAGCTGTGTGTGCTCACACACAAGTTAGGTGGGTATCTGCAGAAATATTTGTTTGTTCACATCCTCACAGCTAAACATTTTTATCAGATAAGATGTGCTGTTAAAAATGGCAATATCTCGAATGGTGGGTCTATCAGTCATAACAGCTAAATACAGCTCCCAGATGCAGAACACATATACAAACTTCCACATACTGAAAACAATCAAAGCAGGTAAATGTTACCATGTTAATTAAACAGTGGAACTCTCTTCCTTGGAGTGTAGTGGAAGCTTCTTCCTTGGAGGCTTTTAAACAGGCTGGGTGGCCATCTGTCAGGGGTACTTTGTGCTTTTCCTGCATGGCAGAAGGTTGGACTAGATGGCCCATGTGGTCTCTTCTGTAATTTTTTCATATAGTTTCAAAGCATGTCTGGTAACACAGTTGAAGAGATACCACCAGAATTGATAGATGCTGGATCAGAAGCAGCAGTGATTTTTACGTTCAACATATGTATACAGATCCCCCCTGTAAGTTTGATTTTTACTGCTATGCATTCATTGCCTTTTGAAAAACAGTTTTTCATTACTTTCTATGCTTGTATTGTCAAGGCAGTCTAAGGATTGTGTTCCCACCAGGTGAAATAGAATGTATTTCTTATACAGAATGATTAGT